AATGACTGGAGAAAGGAAACCAAAAGGTTTTCTAAGGGTAAAACCTTTCTGACAATAAATATGGATCTTCAAATGTCAAGAGGGACTAGATTAAATCCATGGGTTACTTTCAATGTAATATCATTAGGAATAATTACTTTATATTTTTCTTTAAATGTTTGGCTAATACAGATGCATGTAGTACTGAAGTTGTATCTCTCAAAGTGAGTAGAAAATGTCAGCTTTTAAAATTTTGACCAAATGTAGTGATTTGATACTGGCCAAATGCCAGGCACCCAGGAAGCCAGTCACTCACCCTCCCCTGCCACAGCTGGACAGAGGACAAAAAAAAATCACAAAGGGTTCGTGAGTTGAGAAAAGGACTAGGAGCAAACACTTCAAGGGTAAAACAGTGTAATAGTTGCCGCCTCAAGCCAGGTCTCATGAGCTCTTGGAGGTCTATAACACACCCAAGATAGCTCAGCTACCCTTGGAGGCATAAAAATCAGCAGGATGGCTTCTGTTGCAGTGTTGGAAAGAAAAGGGTTTAATAAAAGGCAAAGTAACAAACAGAGAAAAAACGAGCAAGGTGCAAGAGGTTCTTGCTCCTGGTAAAACACCTCACAAAAGAAATTAGTTTCTTTTTTCTCTTATTTTTCTTTTTTCTCTTATTTTTCTAGTAAATTGCCCAGGCGAGACTTTTTGGCCCCTGTCCAATTAGCTATCCTTAACTTTAAGGTGAAGTCCCCCAGGCCCTATGGGATGTCTTTTCACCTAATTGAGGAGGGAAACTTCTGGGCTTCTTTCCTTTTTGAGGGGACAAAGGATAGCTTTGTCACTCTGTCAACACAGGGCACATTTCCTATAAAACAGGCTTAACTTAAAGGTACAAAGTGAATTCATTACTAACAGAATCAGAGGATGAAAATGACAAGTATAATAAGCCCTTAAAACCCATGTTTTTTCCCCAAACGTTCCCTCCTTCCCACCAGGGCGACAGGGAGACAGGATGTGGGAGTTTTGATCAGTTCATCGCCTGAGTTTTTCTTTCACTGCCCAGGAAGAGGAGTCCTTCCCCTGTGAGACTGTGGTGTTCCTCCCATGAGAGGTAGCTCCCCTTCTCCCACATGGTTCCAATCTCATGAGCAGTACTCCTGCCAAAACTGCTGCAACGTGAGTCCCTCCCACAGGCACAGAGTCCTCCCAAAACTGCTGTTGTGTGTGTCACTCTTCCACAGCGTGCAGTCCTCCAAGGCCAGGCTCCAGTCTGGAAGCAGGGCCCCTCTCGCCACTGGGTCTCCCACTGGATCACAGCCTCCTCCAGGCATTCACCCACTCTGTCATGGGCACCTCCCCCAAAGGCCGTGGGTGGATCTCTGCATCCCCCGTGGATCCCCACGGGCTGTGGGTGGATCTCTGCATCCCCCATGGATCCCCATGGGCTGTGGGTGGATCTCTGCATCCCCCATGGATCCCCACGGGCTGCGGGTGGATCTCTGCATCCCCCATGGATCCCCATGGGCTGTGCATGGATCTCTGCATCCCCCGTGGATCCCCACGGGCTGTGGGTGGATCTCTGCATCCCCCATGAATCCCCATGGGCTGTGGGTGGATCTCTGCATCCCCCATGGATCCCCACGGGCTGTGGGTGAATCTCTGCATCCCCCATGGATCCCTACGGGCTGTGGGTGAATCTCTGCATCCCCCATGGATCCCCATGGGCTGTGGGTGGATCTCTGCATCCCCCATGGATCCCCACGGGCTGTGGGTGGATCTCTGCATCCCCCATGGATCCCTACGGGCTGTGGGTGGATCTCTGCATCCCCCATGGATCCCCACGGGCTGTGGGTGGATCTCTGCATCCCCCATGGATCCCCACGGGCTGTGGGGGCACAGCTGCTTCACCATGGTCTCACCACAGCCTGCAGAGGAACCTCAGCTCTGGCACATGGAGCACCTCCTGCCCCTCCTTCTGCACTGACCTTGGTGTCTCCATGTGGTTTCCCTCACATGTTCCCACCTCCTCGTCCTCCTCTTCTCTGACTAGTAGAACAAAAACTGTGTGCACTTTGCTTTGATTTTCTTCTTAAATATGTAATCACAGAGACATAACCAGCATCAAATCTCAGCAAACACCATAAAGCGTACAAATCTGACGAAAATACTCCAACTACTGTAACAATACAAAGATAGAAGTATTTTTATGAGACTCGAAACTGCTTTTAAATATGTGCTCTTGTTCAATGAAACAACTCTTTTGAATCCTTTTAGTATTTAAAAAATAAAGATATAAGTATGAAGAGATCTGCTTTGTTGACGTTTTTCACCTAAATATTGATTAAAAGCAATATTCAGGCAATATTCGTCTTTCAATCAAGCGTTATTTTTCCCACTGTCCCTCCATTATCTTGTTTTCAATGTATCATGGAAATGTTCTAGCACTCAGATGAAAATAGACTTTGACTGAAGAGACATCAGTTAATCTTGAAACTTGCAAGACTCAAAAATTGTTATCAAAGGAAGAATAAGAAAAATTGTATGAGTTCCATTATAGTACCATTGAAAAAGTAATACAAAACCCTCAAGTCATGGCCACTTTGACATAAAAATAGTTATAAATCAAGATTTGCTTTAATGGTAGCAGTGCAATTATTTAATTTTGCAAACTATAAGTACATAGTTCCTAGCTATTAGAGAATCTTGAATTATAGCATAATTTACACTATTTCTATTATTGTGAATGCTGGATGCCTTGTTTTACCTTGTGTATCATGCATTGCCTTTCATGTATTCAAATGAATGTGTGACTATATGTTTTGTTCTTGAGGAACACTGAAGTAAAAGACTTGGAAGCAGCTATTGACAGAAAATAGTTTCCTGACTTCTTTCTGCCCTATTACATTGCTGGCTTGTGGGTACAAATGAAACCCTTATTAACCCTTTTTAGTTGTTTTTTCATTTCTGTCTTGGCTATTTTTTATCTTCTATTACTTTCATTTTAATACTTTCTTCATTAGTTTCTTCCTTATATACCACAACCAACCTCCAAAGCTGAGTTCACTTAGATTTGTTATATACATATTCCCTTCAAGCAAGCTGTCTTCTGTGTTATTTTTATTTAGCATAACTTTTTTGTATTGGTATAGATAAATGAAATAATTTGAAGAAAGGAGTAACTCTCAGGATGATCAAGATAAGAGGAGTATTTTAAAGTGAAACTGAGAAGTTCAATACAAATTAAGCTAAAAATACAAATGACAATTTCATTTTATTAATGTCTGTTGTTTTCTTTTAAGTTAGTAATAAAGCTATCACAGAATCACAGACTAGTTTTTTCTTAATGAAACATTTATTTTGTAGAGGTATTGATGTGGTATTCTTTCTTAGGACTATGATAACCCATGATTTCTATTTCTAACTGAAATATATCAAAAAGACCTTAAAATTGGTATTTTTTTTCTGAGAATACTCAAAACATTCTAACAATGATAATGACTTCACTAGTTTGGTTTCTCTTGATAGTGGCTGCTGCTTCTTTGCTGCTTATATACTCTATGTGCATTTCTAAAAATGTGTAATGAGTATTAGGATGCACCTAGTGTCTATGCTTCCTGAATTTTACATGGCTATTGAAATAAAGTAAAAACATAACAACCCTGCTTGTTGAGTTTTTTATAATTCTCCTCAGTAAATCAAAAATTATAATGGTGTGCAGGAGTGGGAAGTGTGACATTTAAATAGCTGCACTTGCTATGTTTTGCATAGAATCATTGAGTGTTAAAGGGTTGGGAGGCACCTTAAAGAGCATCAAGTCCCAACAACTCCCACTACACCAGGCTGTTCCAGGCCTTGTCCAACCTGACTTTGAATGTTGCCAGTGTTGGGATATCCACAACCTCTCTGGGCAACATGTTCCTGTGTCTCACCAGCCTCACAGTAAAAAATTTCTTCCTAATGTCTAATCTAAATTTCACCTCTTTCATTTTGTACCCATTACCCCTTATCCCATCACTACAGTTCCTGATGAAGAGTCTCTCTCCAGCTTCACTGTAAGGAAAGACAGTGGAATGTTGTTGTGAGATTTTCACATAATTTTCTGTTCTCCAGGCTGAGCAGCCTCAGCTTTCTCATCCTAGCTTCATAGAGGAGGTTCTCCAGTCCTCTTGGTGACCCTCTAGACTGGATCCAACAGTTGCATGTCCTTCCTAATTTGGGAACACCAGAACTGTGCAGAGGGTGTCCCAAGAGCAGAGTAGGGGGTGAGAATCACCTACTTCGGTCTACTGGCAACACTCCCTTAGATGCAGTCAAAGGTTCCATTGGATTTGTAGCTGTAAGCACAAATCTGACTGCCACTTTTTCTCAGAAATAATGGATAATGGCTTAGCAGCTTTGTCTGCCAGGTCCCTCAGGACCTGCAAATTAATCTCATTGGGTCCCAGGGACTTGTGAACATTGAGGTTCCTTGGTCTTGAACCTGATCCTCTTCTACAGTGGGCTTAGTGTTTCCATTCTCCCAGTCAGTCCCTGCATTTACCATTCTTGACATGGGTGGATGGGCAAGAGCACTTGCAGTTGAAGATACATAAAGAACATATCTTTATGATATTGTTCTTTCTCTAGAATCTAAATGAGTATATTTTTTTTAGACTCTTGAATGTTTGTGGTAAACTATGTTGACACATTTTATTTTAGGAATTTGTGAAATCATAGTTACATACACATCTGCTGAAAATCTGCTAAGGATTGCCCGATAGGAATATTTTTATATAGTGGCCTATTTATGAGCTTCCTTGCTGATTGCATTTTAAAAGAATGTCTCTCTGCACAGATGACATTCAGTTTTCTAATTTGCTTTTAAAAAGGTAATCCTTTTTAGAGATTTATTTGCTTAAGATAATGAGGTAGGATTAGAGCAGAATTAACTGCAATGCTATTAAGTGTTGTTTGTTGTTTTTTTTTTCCTTTGGGTCTAGCCTTATGCTTTCAGTTTGAAAGTAAGCTGAGATTTATTTTTCTAGGCTACAAAACAAATTCAAGACCAGAAGACAAAAAGGCAGCTGAAGTAGTAATTCTCCTGAAGAATTAAGACACCGGTGTCTTTGAGGTATGTTTGTTTTGGAAATGTTGTTAATTATTTATTAATCTTGAAGCTATGTATGAGACTAATGGTGAAAGCTTTTTAACATTAGTGACTATTTCACATCTTCCAATGTAATTCATTTGAAAGAGAACTCCAAAAAAAAAAAAAAAAAAATATATATATAGGTGTTTTTCAATAAGTATGGGAAATTAGTTGTAAATGTGCTTCTGTTATATCTGACACTATCTTTCTGTCTAGAAAATTAGACATACCTACCTGCAAAGTTAAAAATCTAGAAGCTTTCTATGTTCTTTCTGAATTAACAATTGCTGCTTTCTTTATGTGCTGTAGGTACTGAGAAAAATTTCCAAATAAGAATGTTCAGGAAAAAAGTGTCAAAAAATTTATATGCAATACATATTACTATGATTTAAATAGCTACAATAAACGTTTCTATCAGTGAGATGTTAAAGAGAATGTATAGAAAGAAATTATGAATAACTCTATAAGGAAGACAATAGAAAGTCATCAGTAAGTAGACAGATTAATGGAAGATAAACCAAAGAAATTCATCACTGCCTTTTCACAAGTTTAAAAATTAGACTATTTAACACTGGTTTTCAGTTTTAAAATGTTTGAACTCAGTAAATTGGATTCCAGTTTTGTAAATGTACCAGCAAAGCTTGCGGGGAACTAAGGAAATGGAGCTGATGCTAATTTCATTTTAGGTCTAGTATTCACTTAGCATGTTCAGGAGCTTAAAAAGAGAAAATTGAAGTCTTCATACATTCAAAAAGCACTGGAAAGCATTATTTTTATTACATTTGGGAAATATTCTTTTGTAGTTTATTTTTCTTGGAATGCCTTCCATCCCTAGTTTTCTCTTCCGTTCAATATATTACATTTCAAAGATTTTTTTTTTTTGTCCTAGAGATGTATTTTCTCATAACAGTAAAACCACAATTCCTCTATCTTTTGTTACTTCAATCCTCACCTGAAGCTTCTTCTTTTTGCAGGAGATATATTTCGCCAGCATATACTCTTGTCTCTTCTACATTCCCACCAGATCTGTGTCATTTTGTTCACATTCAATCTGTTAGAAGGAGCATGTAGAAGTTTGACTAGTGAGACAAACATCTCATGGCTGTTAAGTTCTGCAAGCCTATAGTGTGATGCACAGATTTTGTCCAAAAATAATTTTCTACTAAAGAAAACCCCAAAAAAACCCAAAAAACACAAACACAAACTCAGTTTCCTCTTCCCTGAAAGACAATATTTATTTCGGCTCCCTTTAAAACCACATACCCGTTCAAGACTGTTGACCTCCAGATTTATTTTCTTTTTCTTTGCTTTAGATGTTTAGATGTTCAATAACAGGTTTGAAGCCTTTGGAATTGAGAAGTTGAGTTCTGTACACTAACTTTGTGTAACATCATTCACAGTGAATAGATTCAGAGTTTTTGCCTCCTAGCATTTGTAACCACAAGTACTTCTCTTTTATTGTCAGTTTTTTTCCTGGAGAAACAATATTTGAAGTACAGTAATATACAGCAAAAAGAGGGAAATCAGCAAATATTCACATATTTTACCCTACTATTCTTTTATCTCTCAGCATACCTAAATTTTGTATTGGAGAAAGGAATTTAAAACTGTTATGGAAAATTTGATGAGACTCTACACACGTGCCAGTGACATCTGGGAAAAGTGGTTTTTATTAAATTAAAAATCTCCTTGGCCTTTTCTTGACTCCCATTGAGCAACATACTTGTTCCTCAGGGCACACTTTGTCTTGCAGATTGTATTTGATTTGTAGTCTAAGGATAGAAGTTCGTCATATCTGTGTTAAATACATGTAGCTTTCAGAAGCATGGTAAGGCAGTATTTTTATATTGAGTCATGAGGAAAAATGTGTAAAAAAAGATAGATCTCACTTCACTAGATCTGTCTGAAGAAAGATACCAAGTAAAATATTTATTAATTTTTAATCAGTCTGCTTTAACTTCGGATCTATTTGCGATATTTATGTTTTTGTCTAGCCTGATCCCTGAGTGTTCCCCTGCATAAAGTGTTTGTTATTATATGTTTGTTAAGCCTTTAGAAAATCTTCACTTTCTCTCAGTTATAGAGAAATAACTGTAAAACAGCAGACAAAAAATAGTACAGTATGAGGAAAAACAAAAGAAGTATATCATGCCTGCCTTTTCTCATTCCATCTGCCAGATTATTTAATCTTACTCAGTTTAGTATTTCTGTCATTTTAGATATTATGTGATAGACAGGTTACCATCTGATTTCAAATGGATTTTGAGTGAATTATTTAATCTGCAGTTCAACATTTCTGAGTCTTTATAGAAGTGTAAACATTGTCCTTGGTGGCAGAGAAGTCTCTGACTTTTCCATGTGAGAGTCTTTCTGGGTATAATATTCAGAATAAGGGAAAGGTAGTTTTAGTAGCAAATAATTCTTGTACATGTGTGTGTGTGTGTATATATATACATATATATGTATATATATATATATATGTGTGTGTGTGTGTGTATGTATATGCATATGTATATATATAAAATCTTTCTCTGAGACACCATGTTAGAGTTTAAAAAATGAGTTTATGGCTACCTGAAGATATACTTTCAAATCTTCTCCTGGTGATACAGGCCTTGAGCAAGCAATGTAAGGAACTGCTAACAAAGCTCATACTGGAGCTTTTGAAATTACTGATTTAATAAACCTTAATGATCTGAGTAAACAGAAACTTGCAAATGCCACAGAGGCTCTCTACCAGATGACTCATATTTCTGTTTGTAGCTTATACATTTCAATTATGTTGCTCCATGCCTAATGGCCCAACTTAGATTTGTCTTTTCCAAACTGAGATATCTAATTTTACATCTCTGATTTAGAATGAAGTTACCTGATCTTCTCATTGCTCTTATGCATATTTTGCCTTTTTATATGGTTATAAGCATATGTACAATTTTGCTAAAGTACTGCATGCCTACTACATTCTTTTGGTATATTTACCTTTCAAAATTACTTCATAAAAGTGGTTTATACATGGAGCAGCCTATATTTTCATGTCTATTTAAAAGCCTGACTTGATAAATGCAAATGAAAGTTTCAGAGCTACCTTGTGACAGATGTGTAATTATGATGGGGCTAAAGGAACTCAGCCTTCTTGCAGGTGTTGCTAGATGTTTGCCTTACTTTTCAAGATAGAAATGAAGAAATTAATTGCCTAGAGTAATGTACTTTGTGTCAACCTTGGATTTCAGCCTACTGCAAGACTGATTTGTATATTACTTCCCAGAAAATTCATACATATTGCAAAATGTCATGAGTCTTTTGTGAAATGGAGTTGAAAAATATTTTAAATCAAGAAGTTTACTGAAGTGTACACAAAACTGCCAACCTCAATTTTGACTATATGAGCTTTTCAAGGTTTTCCACTTTGAAAGTAATTTAAAAACTGAAATTATGTTGCAAAAAAATTTCTGTCTGTCTTCAAAATAATTTCTGACTTCAAAATCAGTATAAATTGATCCATATTATTCTCAGGTTTAAAAGGATTTGATTTAATTTGAGATAATAATGTAAAAGGCAGTGGAATTATTAAAAAAAATTCACACTGTATGTCTTGAGAAAAGAAAATATTTTGAGACCATTTCATATTTCTTATGTGTGTCAGAACATATTATTAATTTGGTTGTGTAACAACCACAATATGCAAGTGTTCTTGAAAAAGTATTAAAATAGTAGATATTCAACCATCTCATCCAAATATGAGAGAAGGATTTCAAGGCAAATTTCTAAACACTAGATCACAACTTAGTGAAAAGTCAGTCATTGCTATGACTAGTCTGAACAAGAAGCTGGATTATTTGGAACCTGTCTGCAGTTTTCTTTTGTGCAACCATTCTTGTTTAAAAGTAGAAAAGCTAAGTATTTTGTGAAACCAGTCACAGCTCAAAGTAGCCTGTGTGCTCCCTTTTGGAGTCATAAAGAAAATCATTATATACTCATCAGATAGCTTTCCTCTGTAAATGGAGTGGCAGGTGCTTCCACTCTAGGACTAAAGCAGCAGAAGTGCAGGTGAGGATTGCACGTGAAATGCAGCAGCAGGAGGAATCAGGAAGAAGGGGAAGAATTAATTACACTGTTTTTTCAGCTGATGTAAGTAGCATATGATTCCAACCTGAAATGGCCAGGATGCCAACCTGCCTGTGTGGAAGCGGTGCACCTTCAAGCAGAGGCAGAGGGGTGCAGCTCCACCACCCTGGGGCTGCCGGGGGCAGCCAGTGGTGATCCAGGGTCCCGTCCTGGCCCTTGGCAATGGGCACTGCTTTGGCTGGGCTCTGCTGCAGAGAGAAAGCTGTATGCCTGGGAGCACCCTGAGAGTGAAAGGCAGGCTTGTTCCTCACCTGCAAAGTGTGCCCCGGGCGTGATCTGATCAGCTGGGGTCAGTTTGTACACAGGAGTTTGATTCTAACTGGCTACCACGGGCACGTGCTGATCTGCTGTCTGTGCTTTCACAGTCTTTGGTTTAAAGAATTTATTTAAAATCTATTTCTAGTAATTTAATTTATTTAAAATTTATTTAAATAAATCCAAAAAAACACAGACATTCAGATTTCTATTGCCAGTTTTTCCTTGACATATATAATTCAAAGTATTTATTGGTTTTCAGCTGCTCCAAGGAAATTGCAGGAAGCGAAAAAACTGCAGATATGGGTTTTTTTCTTTCAGAAAATATATGGGAGTTACTTAGCAAATACGACTAACAGCACTTGAATTCTAGTATATACAAATCCACAAACATCCGTTTTTACCCAATTTTTTTTTATTTCTGTCTTCTAGTTTTATGGATTTGCTAGTAATATGATTTTTTTTTCCAACAAATAATTGCTTGTGGTTTTTGATGCTTGCTTCTTACAGTTAAGGTTGGAGTTTCTTACATTGCTTTCTTATGAAACAGCTAAATAGTGTAGTATAACTCTTTCAAAATATGAAATTATTTTAAAAAGAAT